TGCAGAGACTGAGAATAATGTTAAATGGTCAGGCGTACACTCTCATTTCGGAATACTGGTGTAATCCAGTAGGGCTGTAGATGCAACCCCTCCTACGTCCACAATGCAGATGTCTCCTGATTTTAAGATAGTGAACAGTATTAAGGCCATAAGATATGATGGAAAGAAGTGAAGGTCTTGCAGATTGAAACAAACACCACATACAGGAAGTGCAAGGAATCTGCCCACATGTCTGTGACAGACAATACGATCAGTCCACCCAACTTGGACATCTTTCCCAGACGGCTTCCCGTTATCACAACAGAAATAAAGAAAATACAAATCTGTCGAGCGTAGATTGAGAGGGAAAATTAGTGTTTGTCATGTTGGTACCGTACAGAGAATTTTTCTCTCCAACGGTGACTCATATTCGGATAGTACTCTGGTGCTATGCCTTATAAGCGTAGAGATATTTTTGTTGTTTTATCTTAACTCTCGCAAAAGGTTTGTGCTGTGCTTGGTTTATATATGCCCTATCTTGTATTGGTCCAGGTGTCCGGAGATAGGAACTGGTTCTATCGATTTTGCCCAACTGAGTAGGATTTACCTGAAGGCGGAGATGGAATCCAGTTTCCGAACCCTTGTGTTTTAAATAAAAATATGACTGTGTTTTTATTTAAAACATGTCCATGGATAATGTCCAGAAACATAATATTTGTGTTCAATTGTGTTGAAAAATGTACAAAGTTCTACGGATGCTGTTTGCAGCCGCGACTCACCTTGTTGAAGGGCTAAGTCTCAAGACATTANGGCGTTGAGATGGGCTCAGGTGCTTTGATATACGTACCAAATTTCATGAATATTGGTTCAGGCATTCAAAAGTTAATGTGTGGGGGGTGGATTAACAGACAGTAGGGTGATCACATAAACCTATTTTAGAAAAGTAGGTTAAAAAGGCTGTAAGTATGATCATGGGTCCCGCAGAGCCCGGAACCAAGAGTGAATGTGCTGGCGAAGGATTGCCACGGGAAAATTTATACCGAACAGCTGCCAAGCAACGATAGGGGATACACATACAGACTGATGAGACGGATGCTTGAAGTACGGCGTTGAGATGGGCTCAGGTGCTTTGATATACGTACCAAATTTCATGAATATTGGTTCAGGCATTCAAAAGTTAATGTGTGGGGGGTGGATTAACAGACAGTAGGGTGATCACATAAACCTATTTTAGAAAAGTAGGTTAAAAAGGCTGTAAGTATGATCATGGGTCCCGCAGAGCCCGGAACCAAGAGTGAATGTGCTGGCGAAGACCAGCAGCAATTTACCTGAAACCAGATAAATCGATGAAACTAAGTCAATGAGAAACTGTCGCTCAGCTAGTCGAAATGTTCGGTGTCTTTTAAGGAACCCAATAGTCCATTACCGTTCCACAAGAACCCTGGAGCCTATGTGAAACAAATGAATCCAGTATACCCCGCCCCCATGCCCTGTTTCCGCAATTCCTCCCATCTATGTCTAGCCTCTCAAGAGGTCTCTTTCCTTTAGAGTTTCGAATAAGATCTTGCACTTCAGAAGTCTTACATGTGTGCTACATGACCTACTCAGCTCATTTTCCTCCTCTTGAAGATCCTAACATTTAGTGAAGAGTCTAAATTAGGAAGGTCCTCATTGAGGCACGTAACTGCTGTCTCTCCATGACAACCGCGTTCTCTTAATTTTCGGAGCGCAGGAGTAACGAGTTGCATTGAGCCATCCTGAGGACCTGAACGGATATGCCACTGTTGCACTGGGACTGGCCATGCTGACATATGGCACGGCGGTACCTGGACAACAGAAATTAACTCGGTTTTTCCTCAGCTGTTACTCCTTTCAATGACATAAAAAATGTTCAGTGTAAAAGGAAACGAATTCGGTCATGAAAATTAACAAACTTGCTCTTGTGGACGGGAGAACCATCCCTTGGTCAGCTAGGTAGCGCCCTAGGTGTGGGTCAGATGACACCCGTGCCTCGCAACCCGCTGCACGTCTCTGCTAACGACTAGCGTCCGATCTCCTCGCCGCTAAAGTAATTTGAACTTAGCTTAAAGTAATAGTTAGGAAATTGTAATGATCAGTTTCAGCGAGGAAGGAAAAAATTATGTGTAAGATTTGAAGTTCTATCAGCCGTGGCTATAAAACATACAGTCTTTTGTGATGTGAACCCGTGTAGTCTGGTAAAAGTTACCTATGTTTTGGTTAAATCCCCTGACTTAATTTTCAGACAGAAGACGGTAATCTCACTAAAAATTCTGTATGAATACATGCCCTGTCCACGTCATCCTCTTTTGACTTGATCAGTCTAAGTATACTTGGAGAAGAGTACAAGTTATGAAGCTTTAGTCGTTACAAAATTTAATCTAAATCTGTTAAATAATTTCTGAGGTGGGGCAGGAGGTTAGAAGGAAAAAAGCACCTGACGCAAACAGCCTACGAAACATACACTGCAAGTGCATTATTGACAAACGTAACGGATCTTGCTTTCGGAGTAGATGGTTGGGTTTCGGTGATGAAGAGGTAAGTAAGGTAAATCTCTCCCTGACTGGAAGTATAGCGCCACCTTTCTTGATGTACATGAGTGGTCAGATACTCGATCCGGCCGCCTTATCCTCGACAATTATTATGCTAACATCTTTCTTGATCCATGCCTTCAAGCAACAGTCCTTCAGACCTTTTGCAAAAGGGGAAACTCCAGAGGCAAAGGTGGACAGAACGAGAAGCTTATTACTGTCATCATCTAAATCTGGTACAAACCTTGACGTTACGGTGCTAGTCCCAAGTAAATCACTCAAGTTTGAGATACAGTTAGTGTGGTTTACTCTTCCTGAATTTAACGACGCTTTTCAACTATATTCGTTATATAGTATTGGGTTATCTGCGAATGATGAGCTGAAAAAGAATCAGTCGTGGCCTATTTTGAGATACTATCTAATAATTTGCTAGGAAAACCATGAATCATGTTATTCAGAATAAGTTGGATCAAGACTCGCAGTCTATGTCCACTGAATGTGAAGCCGGAGCACTAATCCCTACAGTGAGACATTCGGACAAATGTATGCAAGAAAAAAATACGAAATGGCTGATAGAAGAAGCGAAATGAATCAAAGAAACCCTGACCCAGAAGAGGGAAGTGCGGTGACGAGGTTCTGACCTACAACCGGCAATTCGCCCCTCCGGTCTCCTTGTTCTAGCCACAAGACTACCCGGTACAGCTGTAAGTTGGCAGACCTGGTCGCGGAGCGGTGCGTCGTGCAGTGAAGCACACATTCAAGGTTTGCATTCCGATTTCTCACATGAACAGTCTCCTTGTTTTATCAGAAAATAGAGCATATACGTCTCTCTGTGCCCAACTAATATCTTACGAATGAAATTAGAGAATTGCACGAAACTTTACATAAACACAACATTAATATAGGCCACCTAACTTTGATGCTTAAAATTTCGTGCTCTAAATAATACCAACATGGCAGTCGTATGAATATGCCAAGGTAGAAGCGACAGTAACTCCAATTCATAGGGCCGCGCCATAGCTCAAGCGGTTATTCGCTGGCTTCCCACTGCGGCGGCACGGATTCGATCCCGGGTCTGGTCAAGTGAGATTTGTGGTGGACAAAGTGGCGCTGGGGTAGGTTTTCTCCGAGTACTTCAGTTTCCCCTGCCAATCTTCATTCCACCAATTGCTCCACAATCACCCTCACCTATCATCTGGGGCTGGTACAATAAGCCAGAAGTGGCCGCAGTACAAGGGACTTAGTCCCACCCCACTAGCAATAAAAAAACTCCCAATTCATAAAAAGATCCTGAAATTCGATGCAGAAACAGATTTCAGAAAAAAAAACTATACAATTTCTGTTCAGATCTAAAATAGCGGCCTAGCGGAATCAGTATTTAGCTTTCATTTGGGTGGTTTTAAATTAATGAACCACTGTTCATGGATATACGTGTAGGGCGGTACGCGTGGCGGGAATGACGGGTTCTAGTTCGGATGATTTGATTTATTAGCACCTTGGTTACAAGTTCACTTAATCACACTTAAATACAGCAAATAGAGCGACATCGCTGGGACCTGCTTATTTACCTAGATCTAGGATATTGCCATTCTTCTTCCGTTCGCGTCTCAAAGAGATCATATGCAGTTATTTTATTTCACGAAAGCTTTCCTTCTCTCGTAGAGGAGGCATGAACACAAAATTGGTCATGAGTCCCAAAGGGACCTGAAACCAAGAATAACTGTACTTGCTAGGACCAGTAGAAAATCACTGCACTGCATTAGCAAAGGTTTGAAACAAGGCTATGATAAATTACGTGTAATATCTTTTTGTCTCAAAACCTGCCACGGATTATTCTGAAGTCTAGGAATCCATTGCAGATCAAAGGGGTTTCCAATAGTAGGGATGATGGCAAGGTAAAGCTGTCCATGCCCTTAATTAAGCATCAAACCGAGCAATCGTAAATGTAAATGTAAAGCTATCCCTAAAACAGGCTGTGGAGGTCCATAGGATTGTGAGACGTCGAAGCTCCCACATTTGCTAGACAGATGGCGGTGAAGTTGTCAGCCTCACCCGCCGGCCACACTTTACCCCCCCCCCTCCAAGAAGATTCCTGGTACTCATTTCCATTAGAGACTGAGTCGATCCAGGGTCTTAATGCGCCTGGAATTATTAGGTCGATAGGAAAACCCAATGACTCCAAGGGGAACCGAACCCGCGACCTTGTGGCCTGTAGCATAGTGTCTCACACTAACTGACTAGCGCCCTGGGGCAGAGTTCTTCTCGAGAAGCTAATGTTTAGCAGAAGACTAGGGACAGAAGTCGCAAGTGGTGTTGGCGTCCAGCGTGAACAAGGTATGTAAGACGTGACGGTGGTCCAGTTGGGGGTGGCAGAGATGTAAGGGTTGGGGGTGAGGTCAGATCAATACAATGCGTGGTGGTGCTGCTAGCGGTGGAAGCAACTCACCCCTATCCAGTCCAGCCGTTCGTCCACGTCTTCCAGAACTGACTGCTGTGATCTGGAAGCCTTACTGGGCCTTGCAGTATGAAATGACTTGTTTAGAAGCGCATTGCACCCCATGAGCTTTGCGAGGTGTTCTTCAGGTCAAAATCTAAAAAGAAAGAAAAATCACAATAAGGAAGGGGATTCACGGACCTTGCTTCCTGAACTCAGGATCGAATTTCTTCTTAATATATAACGACTTCGTACAGAGAGTCAAACCCCCGCTAGTTCCTGCAGAGATTCCTTCTGGACGAAATTTCAGTCAACGTCCATTTAGGAGAAAACGTACGAGGTATGATAAATATGAGGTTCTCATGACAGTGACTGAAGATTCCATGCCCTCTGGGATCTGGCGCCGTGTAGCTGCTGGGTCAGCCTCCCACTCCCTCACCCTACACCCTTGCCACTTTATTTCACAATCGACCTATATTTCTAACCTGAAGGAGGAGGCAGCAAGTCCTTCCGAAACATTCGTGCCGGAATGCATTGAATTGCAAACTAAACACATGAATGGATATGCTCAGGATACATTAATTATCTAAGTGGAAGTGAAATAAATGAAAAACGCTGAAACAGAGTAACAGCAATATATAGTGTCTTCAGATTAGGAATATAAACACGTGACATAATCAAGGCTGTAGTCGAGCCGGAGGAAAGGGGGGGGGGTCAGAGCGCTCCCTAGTGTGTGTTTGATCTCCGGGGCTCTACCCTGGCACTTATTTTATGCACTTATTTTATTTTATTATATAAAATTTCTGAGGTGTAAACGACAGCCCCTCAACTATGTATGTTTCATGAGTTGTTTGCCGTTCAGTTCTGTATTTAAATGTGTAAAGACATTGCTAGGTAATAAGGATAGTTTCATATCAGCATATATACATATGCATTTATTTTCAAAATGGAAACGGGTCTTGAACACTATATACAATATTTTAAAAATAGAAGCTTGTCATTTAAGAATAATATAAGCTTACAATATTATATTTGAGCATTCTGTTACACTCACACAATATATATGAGACAAACACCGTCTTAAGTGCAACAATTTAATTGCAGTTCTTTCTTCTTTCCCTCCTCCACACTACATGCAGTGTAGGTGTAGTGTAGGACGGTGTTTGTCTCATATATATATAATATAAGCTTGCCTAAAAGGATAAGAATCAGGCCCTGTTAATGGCAGGCTTTTTTTGTATTAACTCCATGGGAGAAAATCCATCCTGAAAAGCTAATAGTTGCTAAGGTAAAGACATTCTCACAATTTTATAAAGCCTAAGTTTTATTACCGTGTTCACAACAGCCCTCCACTGGTCCTTACCCTGAACCAGATGAATGCAGACCACACCCCTTCCCTATTTCTTAAAATTCATTTCAGTACTTTTCTCCATCTACTCTTAGGTATTCCAAGTTATCCTTTTCCGCCAGGTTTTCCTACAATAATTGGTATGCATTTCTCTTCCACTCGCGTCAGTGGCCATGATCGTCTCGTGCTCCTTGGTGTCATCATCATTGAAGAGCATAAATTATGAAGCTCCTCATAATGCAATTTTATCCACACTTCTGTTACTTCTTCCGCCTCGGATCAAACTACTGTCTTCAGTAAACTTTTCTCGTATACCGTCAGTCTGTATTCTTCCTTCAATATGAGAATCGAGCCATACAAAACAACAGACAAATTTAGAGTTTTATATATTTTAACCTTCGCATTATTCAGGTAGCAGACGGGAAGACTAACGAGTCCGAACGTAACGGTAACAAGAATTTTCAAAATTAGAATGCATTTACTTCATCTATAAACGTAAATCTGGATCATTAAAGCTATCCCTGTAACAGACCATGGAGGCCCATAGGGTTGTGAGACATCGAGGCTCTCACATTTTCTAAACAATCGGCTCACAGATGGCTGTAAGGTTGTCAGCCTTAAGCACTGGCCGCCTTTTACCCCCCTCAGAAAGATTCGTCGTTCACAAATATATGAACTCTGTCATATTTTCAGTGGATCTATTAACTCAATTTGTGTGTGTTACGGACATTGCCTGAATTCTGCTAACGAGACGTGAATATGAAACAGATCCCCCTGCTTTTGTTTCTAGACAGATTTTTCTTCCCCCTTGGCACTACAGCCCCAGTGGGCCTAGGCCTACCTCCATGAACTTCTCCGTTCACTTCGGTTTTTCTAGCTCTGACACATTCGGTAGGACTCGTTGGGCGGGTGATCAGCTCGTCGCAAGGCCTCTACCTGTATACAAACACAGAAAAACGCACACACACAAACTAAACATCCATTCCCTGAGTGGGATTCGAACCCACGATCCCGGTTTCCAAGCGAGCGAAGACAGTACATGCCTTAGACCGCTCGGCTACCGTGACCGGCCCTAGACAGATTTTACTGAACTATATTCTTGATTATTCTCGTAGTAATTTCTTCATTCTCTGTAAAAGAAATACTGTGTCTTCACTCGCACAGCTAATTCTGGGCTAGGAACAAAAGAGAGGCGCAATCCGTCATGGCCTTGCCGCGCAGACATTAGCAAACAGAATGATATAGAATCTGAAGGGAGGATCGCATCATGCAATGCTACCATCAGATGGCTTATCTATTAAGAGGCATATAAAGAAAGAACCTCTGTACAGCAAGAAATCACAACAGCTTCAAAACCAAAACCGAGGAGGTAACAGCAGTTACAAAAAAAAAAAACCCCCGAGATGATGAAACCATGCGTAGAATAAACTCTGGCAATACCTGTTAGTATTCAGTTCACAAACTATTATTATTCTCCCTGGTTTCAAATATATTCTCTAAATATTTTATCACTTGTTTTGTTTGGTTCTGAAATGAGCTCTCTGGCACTGAAGGAAAAACACGGATTCCGGGCGTTCTGGGGAATATTTAGACCCAAGGCAGATCACTCATTACAATAATAATATTAATAATAACAACATGGTAGCTACTTAAATGGGTCAGTATTCGACTACTGACTCTCTGTAACACGGACACAATCTCTCGTACTACTATCAACGAACTAGAAAAATTAAAACTGAATTACTTGCGTCACAACCAGCAAAAAACTCAAATTTCTTGGGGTGGGATGAGACTGAGTCCACTTGGTACGTCGGCCACTGACTGGCCTATTGTACCAGCCCCGGATGGTGAGTGTAGAGCAGTCGGCGGAATGAGAATTGGCAGTAGAAACCGAAGTACTCGGAGGAAAACTGCGCCAATGTCACTTTGTTCACCACAAATTCCACATGACCTGGCCTGGGCTCGAACTCGGGTTGCCGCGGTGGGAAGCCGGCGACTAACCGCTTGAGCTATGGCTCGGCCTTATATACGAGTATGCCCCAGAGTAAGTCATTAGTTGAGTGAGTAGATTCTAAAGGGTTCTGACGATGGTGTATAACATCCAGAATTATTGTTTTTGGGGGGGAAGTCTGTCCATTGTCCTGTATTCTAACAGTTAGAGAACAGAACGTTTAGAAAACTTGATCTGTTTCCATCCTCTGGTGAGTAGGAGAGACACCGGACGGAAACAGATCCAGTTTCCGAAACGTCGTGTCTTCTATTACCTAGAATTCCGGACGATGGAAAAAGTTAAAAAACCCCAGTAATTCTGAGGATTAAATGAATGTCTTGATAATCATGGCACCGACATTGGGGAAGGGGTTGTGCAAGCCAGGCATATTCCTCCAAATTTTTGCAAACGCTAACAAAACCACCCAAGGAAGGAAATATATCAATCAGTAACATTAAAAGTAAGAAAAGGTATCCCTGTACCAGGCCGTAGAGGCCCATAAGGTTGTGAGATGTTGAGGTTCCCACATTTTCTAGACAATCTGCTCATAGATGGCGGTAAGTTTGTCAGCCTTACGCGTCGGCCGCCCTTTACCGCCAAGAATATTCCTGGTACTCATTTCTGTTAGAGGCTGAGCGACCCCAGAGCCATAGTGTGACTGGAAGGATTAGGTAAATTGAAAAAAGTCCACCTCATCGGGATTCGATCCCGCGACCTTCCGGCTTGTGGCATAGTGCCTCAACCAACTACGCTACCGCGTGCCCATAATTAATGATACTAAAAATTAAAATTATTCTTAAAAGTATTTTTAGGTTTGGAATACTCAACAGCGATCAGTAAAAATAATCTTAATTGGTTTGAAATAAATTTGTAAGCAAACTTTCTGGTTGCTCCGTCTTCGAAAACTATCTATCCCAGCAGCTTGGGGGAAAAGAAATCTATCGACTTTCAAAACACCAGTTAACTTGTTTCTCTTTCCGCTGTAACAGCATGACGTCCTAAGTTATCCATATACAACGTACACTTGCTCGGACGGGTCACATCTGCCGCACACACGGCCTACGCTTGCAAGCCGACAGTGACAGTGTGTGACCCTGCAACGGGGAAGGATGCGCGTACAAACAAAATGACCTGCAGTGATAATTCATCATGACCGATGTGAATAGACCACTGGCTGGACAAGCTGTTCAAATCCCGACAGGGGTAGAAATTTCCACTTCGTCGCAGCGCCCAGAACGCTTTGGGGCTCACCCAATGTCTACCGGGGAGGGGAGGGGGGACTTTTTATTCGTCGCTAAAACTTCCGTGGAATAATTCCAACCAACCACCATCTATTACCGAGGCCAAGAATACATAACCATAACTCCACTTCCCTACACACCTTCATATAACTCCGTGGCCTGCAGTCCGCAAGCGAACTATACCGACCGAGTGACCGAGTGAAGTTAGTGCAAATGCGGATAGATGGTGTCACGTGGTCAGTGCAACGGATCCCCACGGCCATTAATCTTGGTTTTCTAGACTGGAGCCTCTATTTCCTTGAAATAACTCCTCAATTATCCTCACGAGGCTGAGTGGACCCCGTTCCACACCCACTACTTTTCAGAAAATCTGGTAACGCCAGGAATCGAACCCGGACCTCTGGATCTGTAGCCAGGATCTCTTACCACAGAGGCGGTCCCAAACATCTTCATATGGTATTTTTAATTAAGCATGTGGACAAATACTTAACACGTGTTTTCGATATTAGGGGTGGAAGGACTTGCCGTTGGGGGGGTTTTGCAAGCCGCTACCACAGCCGGGTTAAGCTGAGGATCAG